AAGAGATTTCTGTGGTTCTAAGGCTTTCATTATTAAAAATAGCACTCTAATTCAAAAGCAGGGGAAATAAACATTAAACAAATAGTTCAGGCTAAAGGTAAAACCGGTTGAAACAATCAGATGCTTGCAGTTCTGTATTTAAAAGATAGAATTTTTGAAAAGTTCAAAACTTACCTTAATCCGAAATAACAATGCAGTAATGAGGTATAAAGACATTAATATGAGAAGCTAACAAGAAACACAGAAGACTTAAAAACCAAAGTAAAAAAGGACTGAGGATTATATGGATCTGAATTATGGAAAAGATTGAAATGCCTTCAAGGAAACTGGGTTAATGAACCTAAACTTCTCTCATAACAAAATACCTAGTTAATACCCAGCACAAGATTCTAATAGAAAAAAAAAATTGCAGTGGTATTCCATGTTATAAACTAGTTTGCAGTATTTATTTAGCAACTGTTATCCATTACTGAAAAATAGGTTCTATTTTTAAAAATATTGTGAAACAACTGCCTTTAAAACTTCCTTTCCTTAACAGTGCTACAGAATACTTGAAAAGTTTTTAGTATAGCCTCAAACTCAGGACAGTCCTCCTGCCTCAGCCTTCTATAGGTATGCGCTACCATGCCTGGAGTAACCATTTTCTTCTAGAAAGTAGTAAAATTTCTAGAAGTAAAATTACTTAGTCAGCTGGCCTGCAAGTGGTGGTAGGAATATTTTTCAACATCCTTTATGTATTCTGTCAGATTAGAGTCTTGAAGATTGTGTCAGATTGTAAATTTTTTTCTTTAAGTAAAGTTGAGATCATGGTTAAGTAATTTTGTACTTTTCATGTCATTTGCACATTTCTTTTACTAGTTGTCAATATTGTTTAGATGCTGTTACTTATTAACCATTCTTGCAGTGTTGTGAATAAATATTTTTGTGAATAAAGTTTCAGTGATTTGTTTATACATAAATTTTTATCCACATTTCAGGGGGTTTTTTTGTTCTTGTTGGGTTTTTTTGAGACTGGGTCTTGCCATATGTAGTTCATGCTGTCCTTGAATTCACTGTGTAGCCCAGGATGGCCCCCAAACTTAAAGAGATCCTCCTGTCTCAGCCTCCCAAGTGGTGGGATTACAGGTGTGCGCCAGTATACTGGGCTTCAGGTTACTTTTTATATTTTTAAAAGAAAATTCGCTATGACAAAGATATAAATATTTTTAATGCCAAATTGGTTTCTGGAGTATGGTGGTAACAGTTTATAATTCCACAGACAGTATATATTTTCCATCTTAAGATCTTGCTGATGTATTTTTAAAAATTTTGTTAGTCTTTTAGATAGCTGAATTAATATGCTACCCAACTTGAGTTATATCACTTTATTTCTAAAGATTTTTTTTCTTAAGTCAGTTTGGTTTCTTTTTTTTTGGTTTTTCTCCGGCACCGGCAATTGAGCTCACTACATTGCGCTTACCAGGCAGGTGCTTTGCCGCTGAGCTAAATCCCCAGCCCCTTAAGTCAGATTTTATTGGTACATTTTAAATTATTAAGTGCTACTTCTGTCTTTTTAGGTTAAGAAAATGGCAGATTATTAAAATCTGAGAGGAATTTAGTTTTCTACCCTTTGTACGAATCATTACATTTCATTGAAGCACATCATTTGATGGGATAAAATTTGGCCTTTCCAGTACTGTTCCAGGCCATTGTACTTTTATTTTAGAACAAAATTATTTTTGCTACATTTAAGGAGTAATTTGCATTGTTAATTTAAACTGAAACATACATCCTGTTTGCATCATAACAGATTGTTTCCTGCCAGGTGGGGGGAGGACAGAAGTAAGGTAGTATCAAGACTTAGTGGTTTACGTCGGATCGGCACCCCTACAGTGGGAAATGCCTGTTGTCCTGGCTACTTGGAGGCTGACAAGACCATTGTAAGTCCCAGGCCTCTTGGGCAACTTGGTCGAGACCCTGTTTCAAAGTAAAAAGGGACATGAAATGTAGTTCATTGGTAAAGTGTTTGCGTAGGCTCTAGCGGCTGCTAGACCCTGAGTTCAATTCCAGTACTTAAAATTGCACAAAGTTAAAGGTGACATTTTGCAATTACATTAGCTTTTTGCAGTGATATTGGCTTTTCCTATCCATTTAGTAAGGTAGTTTTGCTAAAACTTTACCTGACACTTGTTTGGCTGGCCTAGATTTTAAAAAAGAAAAAGCTTTGGCAGACATGAAAGACAGCAAAGGAAGTATTTGCTGTGGCCCATGCCAAGGAGACATTCTGATGCTTAGGCTCTGCTGGGAGAAAGCATACTATGTGAAAGAGGACTTGCTGAAAAGAGTGGTTTTCAGCTGCTCCGACGAGAGCCGTTTCTTCTGTGAAATAGTGTGGAAGAAAGCCTGGATTGTAGCGTGTGAATAATGAATGGGAGCTGAGGTAAAGATAACGAATGTAAAGAACTCTTTCAGGACACTGAAGCAGGAAGAGAGATGAATGCCATCACACACTGAGGGAGAAGAAAAGACATGTAAAACATTGAGCCTGGGAAGACTTACGTGGGTTTGTAGGTAGAGAGGCAGAAATACCGTGGGTCGCAGGAAACTGAAGGCGATGCAGGTGGAGCCGGTGGGAGCCCCCCCTCTCAGGGAGAGGGTGATGGTAATGAGAAGATGAAGACCAGAGGGAGGCAAGGTAAAGCAGCTTGTTCAAGGAACTGTTTTCTCTTGGACTCAGCAGCTATGGTTACCTGCAAAAAAACGTAAGTTTTGAGAATGAAGTTGAGCACGTAAAGAGAAGAGCAGCAACTGAAGCATGCAAAAGGTAATTGATTAGCACAGAAATGAAGTTTACTTTAGTAATAATGAGCACTGAAGGCAGGAGTAGTAAGTTACATGGCTTTTTTTCCCATAGTAGCTTTGGCCAGTGCAAATTAAAGTGAGAAAAGCAAACAGTTGAATTGGCCCTGGGGAGTGTGGTCAGAATGATTGACAGTGTCGGGGGAAGGCTGTGCGTGCCTGTGCTCCCGGCAGTTGTGATGCTGAAGCAGGAGACTGACAAGTTCAAGGCTAGCCTGGGCAATTTAGTGGAGAGCCTGTCTTTAAAAAAAATGGATTATGCAGTTCTGGCGGATAAAGAAGGAAATGGAGTCGTAGGCTGCAGCTGAAAGATGTAGGAAGGAGTAAGTTACAACCAGAAACTAAAAAACTTCCGAAGGGTGGGAAAAATGAAATGATTAATAGTAGGGGTAAGAGAATTTTGTAGTTTAAAATTTAGGAGGTGGTAGAATATTGAGTGTATCACAGTGAATGGGTTTGTGAATTGGATAGAGGTGAATTTTCTTAGAATAGATAAGCGAATTTTTAAAAAAGAGGCATATTTCAATAGGAGTTTTAGTTAAGGTTTTTTTTTTTTTTTTAAGTGAGGATGGGATTTCCTGGTAGCAGATCCACCTACTAGGGGTTCCAGGGAAAGTATTTTTAAAGGGCAGCTTATGTTGAGAAAGGGGAGACTGAGCTGGATGAAGATGAAAGCTCAGGATAACACTGGCATGGTTTACATTGGGCTGCGGCTGCAGACGGTAGGAAGAAGGACGTGACACGGAAGCGTGTAAGGGCAGAGGGGCTGTTTGAAGGCTCCTTTGCACCGAGGTGTCAAGGTGCAGTCCATGGAGGTTTTGTCTAGCCTATTACGTGAGCTTTTAAAGTTATCTCAAGTTATATATATATAAAAAAAACTTGTACATTATTCTTTTTTCTTTTTGATTCTGAGAGAAAGTATCTTTACATAACCCAGGTTAGCATCAAACGAGATCTTCCTGTTTTAATCTCTCAAGTGCTAGGATTATTTCTTTTAAAAAGCCTGCTCTTGGACTTCCTGGTACCAAAAAAAAGGCCTTCTCCTGTAGTCTCTCCTGACGTGTTACGCAGAAGGTACACGGTACTTATAATTTGAATGAATTCACATTTCTCCAAGTATTAGATTTGTAATACATAAGAGCAAAGTGGGTTAAATTTGTTAGCCTTGAAAATAGTTCCATAAATTCTAAAGCCATATAGTATTTCAGCCATGGTTCAGGAAAAGATCTTTTAAGCAAGAAGAATAGATACAGGGCTGGGAATATAATCCACTGGTACAAGCACCCGCATGGCAAGCCCAAGGTCCTGAGTTCGATTCCCGGTACCAAAAAGAAAAACAAAACTAAAATAGATACATAGTAGATAACTACATTTTCTTTTGTACTACTACTGTGTGACAGTCAAATAGGTATTGAAAGGCACCAACACCATTCTTCTTATTTTGTCCGTCCCCACTTTCGTTGTTCATACTTCTTTTTTTCTCTCTTTTTTTGTTTTGGTTTTGGTTTTGGTTTTGGTTTTGGTTTTGGTTTTTCTTCCAGTACCAGCAATCGAACTCACAACCTTGCGCTTGCCAGGCAGGCGCTTTGCTGCTGAGCTAAATCCCCAGCCCTACTTCTTTTTTTCTTCTACCTGTACTACCTTCACTTCATTTTCCCTTCTCATTGCTTGTGTTTACCCGGGGTAATTACTGAAACTTACATCCATTGCTTATCTCCACCAGTAACATTCAAAGCTAAGAAATTTTGCTATCCCATCCATTAAAATAATGTCCCCTTCACTCTTGCTGCCTCTTTAAAGTATACCAAACTGTGGACCCAAACTCAGGGAGAAGAAAGAGTTATAGAAATCTGAAAACAATATGCTTTGAAGTTACAGGTGATCAAGTGAAAGGAATCATCTGGTCTTGTATTTATATATTGTTGATTAGTTAACATTCAGCTTTGTAATGTTATATGAAAGTCTGGATTCAACTGCTAAAATAATTGCTTGTTAGATACATTAATTGCTTTTTATAGTGATTTTGTATCTCAGACTTTGTGTCTCAGGCTTTCTCTGTATGTGAACCTACATTGTTTTCTTGACCTTTGTTAAGTTAAATGGTGTAAATTTTTTTAGCAACAGTGATACGTAATAATATATTCTTATTTTTTAAAAATTAGATTTGGACTGAGCAACAAATTTGAATCAGAATTTCCTTCTTCATTAACTGGAAAAGTGAGTGGTTCAGTTATTTACTTACTGTTTATTTGTCTTAAAATCTAAAATTTTTTCTAGCAATTTAGAAGGCATGTATGCTAATGAAACATACTTATTGACGTGTAACTATTTCTTAAACGTTTTCTGTAGGTCGCTCCTGAAGAATTCAAAGCCAGCATCAACAGAGTTAACAGTTGCCTGAGGAAGAACCTTCCTGTTAACGTGCGGTGGCTGCTTTGTGGCTGCCTTTGTTGCTGCTGCACTTTAGGGTGCAGTATGTGGCCAGTTATTTGCCTCAGTAAAAGAGTAAGTTGAATTAATATGTTTTAATTTAAATTTAGAATCGCTTGTATTGTGCATTTAAGAAGTTTTAATTTTTTGTTTTGAATAAACTACATTTTTGGCTGAGTGCGGTGGCGCACACCTGTAATCCCAGCACTCAGGAGTTGAAGGCCAGCTGGGGCTACATAGTTGAAGGCCAACCTAAACTACAGAACAAGAACCTGGGTCAAAATGAAACAAAACAACCAAAAACTGCATTACTCTATTCAAAAATACTGATCTTGGAGGAGTGATTAAGTGAGTATTATAGGTAGCCACATAAAAATTACAGAACATACGAAATTGTTGGGGAGTAACAGGACAAATACAGCAATGTCTGTATTTGCATTAATGGTGGTATAATGTAGTGATTACGGGAGTTCAGCTCTACCATTTATGCTTGTGACCTCAGATATCTTTGTTAACCCTAGCTGGTACACCTGCAAAATAGTAACACTCACCTGCTACTTGAAAAGGGTGGGTGTAAGGATAAAATATTTGTAAGCCTTTTAGCTGAGTAGCTAAAGGAAGTGGTTAATAAATATTGATAGTAACATTATTACTAATAAGTTAGTACCCATAGATAACAGTGATTACCGTGGTTACTTGTAAGTTAATAAGATTAATTATTTTTTCTTTTTTGTATAAGCTTTCTATAATGAGTACATAGAACACAAACTTTTCTAATGAGAAAAACAAGTCATAATTTTGACTGCTTATAATAAAAAATTCTCAAAATGTTGATTAGAGATATGGTAAATTAGTAGTCTGACCACATTATTATTTTTTTCCCAGTGCTGGGAATTGACCCAGGGCCTTGTGCCTGTTAGGCAAGCACTCTACCATTGTGTTACATTCCAAGCCCTTTTTATTGCTTTGAGCCAGCATCTCACTAAGTTGCTCTGGCTGGCCTTGAACTTGAAATCTCCTGACTCAGCTTCCAAGTGCAGTAACTGGGATTATAGGCGTGTGTCATTGCTCTTGGCTTGTTATGGTCATTTTTAAAATGGTATTTACACATAAAAAAATGAAATACTTTCAAGTTGAAATTGAATGGTTTTGTATTGCAACCTTTCATTACCAAATAATAATAAAGAAATGTGGGTTATACAATAAAATATTGTAGTGAATACTTTCTGTTGGTAGGAAAGAAATAATGACTTATAGAGTTATTTTTATAACATTTAATATCTGTGACATTTACTTTTCCCTGATATATCCTTTTTTCATAGCTGTCATCAGATCACTTCTAGACCGCAGAAAACTTTTTTCCTCTTCCTTGTCTGTAGTGGCCTTTGGATCCATAGTTGTTGCTGGCCGGCCTTCTAGTTTAGGTCCCCTTTCACTGTTCAGGTGTTCCCGTTGTTTAAATACTGCTTTATCTCATGGGAGGAGGTAAAGTTGCTGTCATTTAATGCAAAGAATCTGAGGGCCTTAATGCCTTAGAAACCTTAGAGGTCCAGCTTTCTCTGTCTGTTTTGAGATCCTCAGTTTCTTTACTTTGAAAATAAGTAACGCAAGGTCTTGCGATGTATGTACAAGTGAGCTGAGGAAACAGGTGGGTATCTTTCACTTCCCCACACGTCCCTCTCAGTTGGAACCTTTCTTGGTACGCCTTCACGAAACCCCTTTCATTTGATACGTAAGACGGACTGAGTTCTGGGCTCTTTGCATCTGTGTTCCTAGCACGTGCATCTCGCTGAGCACTGTGGCGTTAGGTCTGAGCGTTCGTTCTGTAGATGTGAGTGCGTGCAACTAATATTTAACCGTGAGGGATGGTACTTCGTGGGTGTACGAAAGGTGTTAGAGGTCCCAGAAACAGAGAAATGCTTTTTTCTCCAGTACTGCAGATTGGACCCAGGGCTTTTGCTCTCCGCGACATTCCCAGTCCTCTTTTTATCTTTTATTTTGAGACAAGGTCTCACAAAGCCTTTCAGTTCTCCGGGGTGTGCTCGCTGTCCTCCCGCCTCAGCCTCCCGGGGTGCTGGGATTACAGGCATGCATGGGCTGGAAGAGGAACTCTTGAAGACAGACAAAATGATTTAGAGCTGGGATTTTTTACCTTTTTATTTGTTGCATTGACTTCGGTAGTCTAGCTTATGAATGCTATTTCGGAACAATTTTTATTTATATTTTAAATTATTTAGTGTGTTTTCAATGTATAAAATACAGAGTCGCAGAGGAAATCAATTATATAAAATATTCTTCACCAAATACAGAAAATTTCAAATGTGTGATTTAAAAATCTGTTTCTTTACGAATGCATACAAAATAAGATAGCCGCAGACCGTCGGAGTAATACACGACAGAAAGAACCTGATTCCTATGAGTGGTAAAGGCACAGGTCCCGTTCAGTCACGGCGGCTCATTAAACCCACTCACACCCTGAGGGAATATAGTACATTTCAGCAGAAGGTTAGAAAACGAAGATGAAGTTTCACTGCACCCACTTTCACGGGCTCCTAGAGCTCTGTGGAGATATTCCATATTGAGAACTTCAGCTGTGGAGGCACTAGTATTTTAAGATGCTAAACCCTTGCCTGATTGCCAGTGGGTGAACCTGTTTTCCTCATTGGAGACGTAAAATCCTCTTACATGGTTGAAATTGCCTCAGGCAATCCAATGCATACCAGAACCAAAGACATACTTCAGATGCGGTTAAGTGGTAGAGCGCTTACCTACCATCTGCAAGACCCAGGGTTCCTCTTTAGCATTGCAAAACAAAACGTTGTGATGTTTTGACTATTTAAAAATCATTTCTTCTTGTTGAATTCTGAAAGCTTTTACTGTAACCACAACTAAGCCAGGAGTGGTGGTGTAGGCCTGTAATTCCAGCACTTGGAGGCTGAGACAGGAGCATCAGATATGAATGCAAGGGCAGCCTAGGCTACCTAGAAAGTTCAAGGCTAGTCCGAACTCTACATAGTGAGACCCTGTCTCAAAAACAAAACAAGACCACAGCACAACTAAAAATTCCTTATAATTTTTTTAGTCTATAGCTTATCTCTTTTGCATTCTCTTAATGTCTTTGGGAGAGCTAAAGTTTTTAAAGTCTAGCTTATAAAAAAATGGATTGTTCTTTTAGTTTGTCATATTTAAGAATTTCATAAACAGAGTTACGAAAAATTTCCCCTTTGGTCTCTTCTCTATTTAACATTTAGGTCGGTAATGTTTTAAGTCAGTTTTTGTATAGATATGATAGGTCAAAGTTCATCTTTTTTGTATATGATTCTCTAGGTTTTCCAGCGTCATTTGTTGAAAAGTCTGTATTTTTCCATTTAATTGCCATCATGTATTGCTAAAAATTAATTGATTATATTTGTGTGGGAATGTTTCTGGACTCTTACTTTGTTGTATTCATCTATATGTCTGTTTGATCTTAATAGCACACTATCTTATTTACCATAGCTTTATAATAAGTCTTCTAATCAGGTAGGTGAGTCTTACAAATTCCTTATTTGTATTTTTTGAAGATTGTTTTGGTTATTGATTTCTTTGCTTTTCTCTGTAAATTTTAAAATCAGCTTGTTATGTTAATATCCACAAACTGTGCCGAAAGTTTTTCCTTTTTTTCTGTGGTACTGGGGCTTGAACCTAGGGCCTTCAATTTGAGCTACAACCAACCCCCACCACCCTGGGGGTTTCACTAAGTGGGCCAGATAGGGCTCAAACTTGTGATTCTCCTGCCTCAGCCTACCAGAATGCTGGGGTTACAGGTTTCTGCACTGCACCCAGCTTAAGTTCCGAGAATTTAATTGGGGATTGCATTCAATTTATTGGTCAATTTAAGGAGAATTGGCATCTTGCTAATATAAATCTTTATATATTGCATTTTTGTTGTTGCTCAGTTCAGAATATTCCTAACTTTCCCTCCTTGATTTATGCATTAAGAAATACATTGTTTAATCTCCAGATGTTTAAAGGTTTTCCAGAAACTTTTGTTATTGATCTCTAGTTTAATTATCTTGTTGTCCGAGATGTGATTTCACTTCTTTTATATTTGTTAGGTTTATTTTATGGCCCTAAATTTAATCTGTTTTGGTAATAGGTTTTTAAATTTTTATTTCTATTTTAGCAGCTTTATTGAGGTTATTAGTGACATAGAACAAACCATGCATATTTGAAATGTTCATTTTGTGAGTTTTGTCACATATGCATGAACACATTCACGTTTACATCAAGATTGTGAACATATTTACTGCCCTCGCAAGCTTCCTTAAGCCTTTTTGTATTCCCTTCTATGCCTTCTAGGCAACTGATACTCTGTAAGTTAGTTGGCATTTCAAGACTTTTATATAAATTGAACCATACAGTATTCATTCTCTTTGTCTTTTATTCATCATTTTGAGATTCAGCTGTGTTATTAGTTAAATAGTTATGGGACATCGTGGTGCATGCCTGTCAGTCCCAGCACTTGGGAGGCTGAGGCAGGACTAGAATGGCTTGATTGTATAGTATGTGTATATTTAACTTGTTTAAGAACAGAGAAACTGCCAAAAAAGAGGTAATGCTATTTTATATTCTCACAAGCAGTGTATGAAATATTTTGTTCTGCTACATCCATGTAATATATAACGGTACTTTTTAATTTGAGCCATTCTCATAGGTGTTTCGTGTTACTACAGTTTTAACTTGCATTTAATGATTACTCATGTTAAACATAATTTTATGCTCATTTTTCTGTTTGTTTTTATGCTCATTTCTATGCTGAAATGTCTGTTCTTTTTGCCCAGTATTTGAGCTAGGGTTTTTCGTTTTTCTGTCTTTTTGAGACAGACTCTTCCTATGCAGTTCAGGCTTTAGCGTACTTTGTAGCCCAGGCAGGTCTCGAACTTGCAAGGATCCTCCTGCCTCAACCTCCCAAGAGCTAGGATTACAGGCATGTACCACCACGTCTGGCTTCTGAGCTATTTTTCTTACTGGTGAAGTTTTGAGAGTTCTTTACATATTCTGGATACATATCTGCTTTGTAAGAATTTCTCGTA